TTTTTTTTTTATCCAATAAAATTAATTTAATATTAAAAAAACTTCATTGAATTTGTATTCTTATTAATCAAATAACCAAAATTAAAGTATAGTAGAATAGTTAACATATAAATATTATGCATACATCAATCTTATAGTAGTGAGGGGGTGGGGCGTGAACTCATAAAATAGTTTTAAAGAGGGTGCAGATCTTAAAAGGTTGAGAACCCATGTGCTAAGCCAACAAGATTTTATTTTTATCATGATCAAATGTGTTTTTAAGAAAAAAAAACCAACGCAACACAATTGCTTAAGAAAGCGTTGATGATATACGAAAACAAAAAACAACTCAAATTGACAATAATTAAAAAATCGTATCATTAATCACCATACATCACCAACTAATCAACCAAATATTTCTAATACACAGAAGAAGCGCAAGTCATATTTGACACAAAAATTGTATGCAAAATGTTAAAATTTATCAATCACCGAATTGATACACCTAGAAACGAAGATAACTATAATTTATCATTTTCAAAAGTCTTCTGCCCAGCATGTCATCACCTGATGAGGATGAAATTTTATCATTTTAAGCTTGCGTTCATTGTTACAAATGATCAAAAGAAATAACTCGCAATATACACACCATGGTAGTCAATATCAATTATTAATACCAACTCCTATATCATAATCCGTGACCAAATAATGAATATTACCCCAACTGCTTCAACAACCTCAATCATATTTTCAGAATATAACCGTAGACCTACTAACAGTACTAGCACTGAGAATGTGATTTGACCACTAGTTTCGATCATATGAACTACAATTGTAATAATACTTTAGTCAATAGTCTGAAGAATATAATTTTGTTGATTTAGTTTAGATATAGATATATTAAATAGTTAGGTAAATATTAAGTTAAGTGAAAATGTTGATAGCCTCAAGATATTAATAATTTATAGTTCTTATTGTTCATTAAAAGTTATTATTTTCATTGAAATTTAAATAAATACAAAAATAAAACTATATATCTCACCTTCTCAGACTTAGTTTTACTCTTTTCAACAGGTCATCAAATGTAGATACCTATCGATATTCGAAAAGTATAAAAGAATTTTGTTTCATCCTGTCGTAATTGGCAAATAAATGTATTAAATAAGCCTAACATATTTATTACAGTTGAACGTGCCCAGAATCTTCGATTTAAAATTCGTTGCTGTTGACGATACTTCCGGCATTAATGCATTGTTATAAATGTATTCAAATCCATTTAGACACGTTTTTATTAACATACAAGTATGCTATGAATTAGAATTAAAACAAATTAATAAAAACAACTATGAAAAAAACCATTACACATTGTGTACCTGTATAGTTGCATAAGACAAAAATACCGTACCGGCTGAAAAGTGAAACCGAAATACAACAAATCGAGAAAACATCTGATTCGGTAAAAATATAAAATATTATTAATAATCGTGTGAATTTGGCCATTATAATTAATACTCCAACCACTGCATGTTGCGTTTAAAATGTTATCGAATTTAAACACACTCAATTTTCAATCAGAAATCATATTTCGTTTGATAATATTGAAGATTAAGTTTGAGACAATGATTATGAAAAAACAATTGGGTAAATAGATGGTTAAAATTTAGATCTAAGAGATTTATTTATTGTGTTAAATAAAGCTTGTTAAACGTTACCTTTTCTCGAGGAACCCAAATTAACTTAAGCAATTTCTGTGAATTGAGAATATAATTCACTAACATAATTATTACTCTCTCGAGAGGATACAACTTGTCCAGATAACGCCTTAAGGTTAACCCGAATTATAGGATGTACATATATATCGGAGCACTATCTCCCGTTCGTACAAAAGCGAAGGTTTATAGAAGATAGTCTTTTTTGAATGAAATTGTCGGTATCTTTTAAAAACATTGAATTAATTACATTTCAGAGTAACAATCAATTGTGTTACGGATACCTACGCGTTATATAAAAAATGTCACATGCATCTTTTTTGTAACGGAAACATATGAAAACCAGTGCCGCAACTAGCACCAAAGCAGGCAGGGCAAAGCCCTGCCAAAGGGCCTAAATTTATTTTTTAAAGAGGCCCATAAATGATCCACCTATTATTATTTTTTTTTCCTAGTTTTTAATTATAAAAATGTCAACAACAATTTTTGAATTGAAAAAATGTAAAAATAAAACAGATGATAACTCTATTATATGACATATCTAACTTATTTTAAAAATTACACAGATATAATTACGATATCGTGGATATAATTAATAATTATATATAAATAATAATAATTATAATTGATTATTTTATAAAAAAAACACTGTAAAGCTTATCTGGTTGGCTACACTGAGTATTTACAATTTGTCTTCTTATATTATTATAATACCACAAAATAAAAATAGAACTACAACATCATTTGTTTTGTTTTGATTTAACACAAATTAACAATTCACTACCCATTGGCCACTACCCAACTTAACGTGTGTTAATCAAGAGGTGATTTTTTACTTTTTAGTTATTTTCACAATATTTTTGTAAAAATGTCAAAACATCTTAGTGGTTTGACAAAAATAAAAATGAAACTTAAAAAAGAGGAAGAAATAAAAAAATTAAAAGGTTCACTAAATATGTTTTTAGTAAAGAATAATGTGGATAATGCAGGTAAAAATAACTAATATTTGAAATACTGGATGATAATATTATTTTTAAATTTAAAATCTTAAAAGCAATTTAGTTTTAATATTTTTACATTTATTTAGTTATTATAATATTACATTCTGTACACAACTGTAAATAATTTTTTTTTTTTATCTTTTTTGTATATTTTAGTTAACAGTTGTACTAATTTAATTAATAATACAACAAATGCAAATACTAATGTGGAATTGTTTATAACTTGTGATCATGTTGAATCAAACATAATTGATAAACCAGGTAAATTATACTTCTCAAAATTGTTAAAATGTAAAAATACTAACTAGGTAATGAATTAGCTTATTAAAATAAATGCCTAACCATATTTCAATAAAATTATTTATAATAATGTTGATATATTAATTACTTAATGGTACAACTGTATAAATATTGCTTTAACTTATTTTTTGTTGTTTCTATTTTGCAATTTCCATTTTGTTGTTTAATAATATACCTATAATAATTGTTCATAATAGGTATCATTTTTTTTCTTTTAGTTGAACATTTTTCTACAAACTTAATTAGTAATGAAACAAATGCAAATACAAATGTGGAATTGTCTGTAACTTGTGATCATGTTGAATTAAATATAATTGATAAACCAGGTAAATTATACTTCTCAAAATTGTTAAAATGTAAAAATATAAATTAGGTATGATAAATAAATTAATATTAATAATTAGGTAAATTGTAAAATCCTTTTTAATTGATATTAAATGTATTTAGATATTTAAAACTTTAAAATAGTTCAATCATTTTGATATTCATTACCTTATAATTTTATAGTACCTTTTGTTTTATTTATAGGTTTAGATTTAACAACTGATTATCCAACTGACCGGGGACATTTTAAAGAGTTGGATATTGTAAAATCTGATTTGAAGAGAAGTATTTTATTGCACGGACCATGTAAACCCGTAAACATTGAATTTCCATACAGCCCCGATGGTAAAGGTATCCTTAGACGATTTTCAGTACAGTTTTATTACAAAACCACAAACACAGGACTGCGTTTACCCAGAACATGGATATGCTATTCAGTTATTTTAGATTGTACATATTGTGAAACATGTTGGCTTTTTGCTGATAGGAAAAAAAACAATTTTAAAATAAATTGGATATCAGGAATTAATGATTGGCATCATATTGGAGAAAAAATTGGAACACATGAAATCTCTCAGCAGCACATTCAAGCCACTGAAGTCCGAGTACGTTGGTTAAAAAACGAAACTATAGATAAACATATGGAAGATAAAATTGTTAAAGAAGCTAGTTTTTGGAGAAGTGTTTTAATTAGATTAATCAAAAATCATTTTATTTTAAACTGCAAGGAATACTGCCCTTCGAGGAAATGAAAACAGTAAAACTAAAATAAATACTACAGAAGTAAACTTTATCAGGACTGTAAGGCTGATGGCAGATTTTGATCCTGTTTTAAATAATCTGTTGAATAATGAAAATAATAAAATAAAATATCTGAGTTGGAAAATTCAAAATGAATTAATTCATTTATTATCCTCAGAAATATTAAATATTCTAGCAAATGAAGTAAAAATATCTAAATATTACTCAATAATTGTAGATTCTACACAAGATATAACAAAAATTGACCAATTGAGTGTTATACTGCGTTATGTTGTTGTAAACTACGGAACTAAATCAATTGAAGTAAAAGAATCTTTTTTTGGATGTTTTGTATTAAAGTAGCATGGTAAAATAATAGGTACATTCAAAATGTTTTTCTTACCATATTGTATGTTTCAAACTTCAGTTTACAATAAAAATATACAAAATTACGCTTCTTAATAATTTGACAATAATAATAATAATGATATCAATGGAAAAAAGAGGAAGATTAACTGTTGAGTTGAATGTAATTATTGTACAAATATCGTGTATATATACCCATATTCTGTATTGTATTTTAAAACCCCACATGGATTAATTTACGAAATAACATTAATTACTATTTTAACATTATCATCCTATATAATTTATAAACACGCGTTTAAAGGCTTAAAACTAATCGAAATCAAATCACGCATTGGATATTATATAATAATACGAACATGCGTTTAAAAAATTAGCTAAATAGACATCATGATATTATATGTTTGAAAATATTAATGATTTTGATGTAAAAAAAATAAGAAGTTACCTACCTAGGTGGATTCCGACATGCGGTTACATATTACAATACACATGTTATTCG